CTAGGTGGCTCAGTGGATAGAACACTAGGCCTGGAGTCAGAAGGATTTGAGTTCAAATTCGGCATCAGATACTTACTAGCTGTGTGCCACTGGGCAAGTCACTTAACCCTGTTTGCCTCAGTTTCCTCATCTGTAAAGTGAGCTGGAGAAGGAAATGGCAAACCATTCCAGTATCTCTGCCAAGAAAACCTCAGATGGGGTCCCAAACGGTCAGACAGTCCTGAAATAGCTGAACAACAAGTGGTAGTTTCCTTCTCTCTTGTTCCTTCACAATATTCAGGGAGGGGAAATGTGCATCCATTCCAAAGCTTACATCAGTTTTCATTTTTCAGGCTGGATCTCTGTATCTTATCCAGGCTGGAAGTGCAGTGGCCACTCATGAGTAGATTCCATTGGTCATTGGCTTGGGAGCTTTGACCTGTTCCTTTAGATAGCCTCATGTTCCCCTGTTCTCAGGGGATCATCATGTTTATGCCAGATTTACCACAACCACCTGATTAGCTTAGCATATTCCAGCTCAATATTCTACAATTCAAATTCTCTGTTTATTACATTTTCTCCCACATTAGATTGTGAGCTTCTTAAGGACGGGGCTGTTTTTTTGCCTCTTTTTGTAATCCTCTGCTCTTAGCCCAGTGGCTAGAACATGATAGGCACTTAATAAATGTTTTTTGATTGATCGAATCCACTAGTCTCAGCTTTCCTAGAAGAAGGAATTTCAGGTGTGTGCCACCTCAGCTGGCTATGTCTTTCTTTACGTTGTTCTTCATAAAAGCTAGAATTAGGATAAAACTACAATTAACCTAATGTATTATTGATTTTATATATATGTGTGTGTGTGCTAATATATATATATATATGTGTGTGAGTGTATACGTATATACATGTATACACACACACATATACATAGATATATATATATATGTATATATATATACATATATATATATGTATATATATATACATAGATATATATACATATATATATATAAACTCAAGGGCAGTTAAGAAGGAGGTTATAGCCAAATACACAGAGAAAATGAAACTTTCGTTGTGAAACACTGGGGTTTTCCCAGACGAAGGCTCAAAAAATGAACCAAAAAAATTTTTTTGCAATAAATATCAGTGTAACTCCACTAAGGTAGGGAAAAGATTAAACCCTATGAATTCTGGCCTTCATGAATCCCACTAGGCATAAATGAGTTAGCAGCGTTAGGAAGAAGGAAGCTTGAGAAAGAGACACTTTCTCTCCAAACACCTCTAAAGCAAGTACCCACAGCAACTTTGCTTTCCTCTCACTGGGCAAAGGCAAGCATATGACTAAGCAGAGAATCATGCCTGAAGGAGAGTTGAGAAAGAGCAAATCTACCCACATGAAGTTTGGGTGCCAGATGGAGGGAGCAGCTATTACTCCTCTTCAGCCAAACGCCTCTAACCATCCACCACTGTTAATGAAAGTGTGATCTCATTCACATTTGCAGCCTTACTCTCATTTGCTTTCTATTAAAAATCACACATATTAGCCACAACCAGATAAAGCAATTCCAATATAAATTATGTCCAAACTGAAAAATTGTGAATGTGAATTCAGAAATGTGACACGAAAGCAAGGGGGGAAATGAATACAGCACCATCGATGCCCAGCAATTGGGCTATTTGTTCATCAGACAGATTTAAGTCTTGAGAAAGTCTACAGAAATAAAAAGAATCCACATCACACCATTTGCAGATATACAAAACTTGATCAAGATTAAAGAAAGAAGGTATTAAGTAAAATTAGCATTAAATCACAACCATTTTAAAGCCGTCTTTAGTACCAGGAGAGAATTTTGTCAGCTTGTTCTCCCAGTGGCAAATTCTTTCATGTAAAGCCTGTTCCAACGTATGCCCTATACTTTCCCAGACTTATTATACATTATTCCCCTTCACATATTCTACCATATAGCCATACTGTCCTACTTGCTGTTTTTTAACATGACATCTTGTCTCCATGGCTTTGCTTTAAATGTATTCACTCCTCACCTTCACCTCTTAGCATCCCTTGTTCTAACTCAAGCACTTCTAGGTGCTGGGCATTGAGGGCCCATTTTCACACAGGGGAAAGGAACGCTATAATAACATTAGTGCTCCTGTTGGTGGGGTTGTAAACTGAGTCCACAGAGCAATTTGAAACTATGCCCAAAGGGCTATAAAACCATGGATATTCTTTGACCTAGCAATACCACTACTAGATCTGTATTCCAAAAGAGATAAAGAACAAAAAGAGGACTTACATGTACGTGTGTGCATGTGTGTGCGTGTGTGTGTGTGTGTGTGTGTGTGTGTGTGTGTGTGTAGCAGCTCTTTTCTGGTGGAAAAAAATTGGAAATTAAGGGGATGTCCATCAATTGGAGAATGGCTGAACTAACTGTGGTATGTGGTTGTGATGGAATACTATTGTGTTCTAAGAAATGATGAGCAGGATGCTCTCAGAAAAACCTGGAAAGACTTACATGGCCTGATGTAAAGTGAAATGTACTGCGTACAGAATAACAGCAATATTGTAAGATGATCATCTGTGAATGACTTAGCTATTCTCAGCAATGCAATGATCCGGGACAGCTCTGAAGGACTTATGATGAAAAGTGCTATCCATCCCCAGAGAAAGAACTAGTGGTGTGTGAATATACATTGAAGCATACTTTTTTATTTCTTTGTTTTTCTTGAGGGTTTTATTTTTTGTCTGTGTTGTCTTTCACAACATGACTATTATGGAAATGTTAAAAAATAATATTAGAACACCAGTTTATCTTCATTACGGGGAAAATGGGGTTTGTAGACTAGCTGGAAAACTATACTAATAATGTTATTTCTATGTAAGAAGGAAGGAAATAAGCATTTATTAAATGCCTAATGGATGCCTTGCCCTTAGCTAGTGCCTTATAAATATTGCTTGATCCTCACAACAACAATCAAAGATAGATGCTATTATTATCTCCATTTTACAGTTGAGGAAACTGAGGCAAACAGAGATTAAGTGACTTTCCCAGGGTCACACTTCAAGTAAATAATGAGGCTGGATTTGAACTCAGGTCATCCTGACTCCAGACTGAGTGCTCAATGCACGTCAAAACTATTTGAGTTTCTCCCTGAAGGAGTAGGAAAGGGGAGCTAGTGCCCTTCCCACTCCCTGGACACATGAGGTACGTCTATAAAAAGCTAAAGCACATTCCCTGCCTGAGTGAACCTGAGATTGTATCTCAGATCCCTAGCTGCAGGAATGGGCTAGTAAATGTGTAACAACTAGCTCTCCAAACAATGCAGAACAAGCTTGTAAATTTAATCTAGGGCTATTAATATTTTCTCCATCACTTTTTTAAGTCTAGAAAATCAACATAGTAAATCAAGCCCCAATTTGCAGCATTTTCCTATTTTCAAGGCGTAAATTCTTGCTGAAAAGTTACCAATCAGTTCTCCAAGCTGGTCCAAGGTGGCTCCAGCACACCCTGGTCTAGCTTCCTCTTCTGCTTTTGTTTCCTTACCTAATCACAGGTGACTGGGAGGGACATGGTCCAGCTTAAAGGCAATTTTACCAGTCTTGAGAGATTAGGAAATCCAGGGTGCTCAGTTTGTGCAAGCTGCATTGCAGGAAGTGCCCTTTCTACATTTTCTACAGAGGTCCAGCAAAAGACAACTGATAGCCAAAGGATGAGAGCCTGGCTTTCCAGAAGACATAGAATTGTTTGGACAGTGCAGAGTGAACGTGAAATGTAAAATGTCTAATCAGCAATTCTGCAAAAATGCTTTCTGTTTTTGGTGATTTTAAGTCTTAAATTCCCAGGGTTATAGTTATGATTGCTGCTTGTTTCAAATTCTCTGTCAATGGATGCTTGTGTATCTTGTGTATGTGAAGCACTTCTTTGTTAAGAGGAAACAAATAGCTATTCTATAGTTGATCCAAGTATCTTTCTACTCCCCTCTTTGGGGAGTAGAATACTACCCTTCAGCCAAAACCCAGGGCTGTGGGGCTGAACTAAAAAGAGCCAAAAAGTATGAGAAAGAAAGTGTGACCCTTCTTGAGGTGGCTAGACTCCTCTAGAACTGAACCAAGTTGTGCATGCAAGGATCCAGAGATGGAAGGGTCCCCTTATGGGAAATGGAGAGGGTGGAGTGCACCATCCTGTCTGGGGCCAGCAGCAGCTTGGGTTTTTATTGTTACATCTGTAAGAACCACTTATTTTTACATCTGTAAACCACTAACTTACAAATGTACTCTTTTTTTCTTTTCTTTTTTTAATTTAATTTTTAAATTTTTAATCCATGTAACAAAACAAGCATTTCAATAACATAGCACAATAAAAAAGATGATTGCACATGAAACTACAGCTCTGCTATGCACAACTGGCTATTCCTTTCAAATATGCAACAAAATTATTTTTTTCCTTTTTTTCTTCCTTCCCACATGGCTACCATTAGAAACAAATAGGTATATATATATATGTGTGTGTGTGTGTGTGTGTGTGTGTGTGTGTGTGCGTGTGTGTGTGTGTGTGTGTGTAAAATTGTTTTATACATATTTCTATTTATCAGTTCTTTGGATGCAGATAGCATCTTTCTTCATATGTCCTTTATAGTCAATTTGGAATACAAATGTACTCTTGAAACAGGAACTGCCTATAACTTGGAGATTATATTATATTAATTCCACCTTCTTAGCACTGCCTCAGTGATCCCCTGGAAAGAAGGGAGCTTACTCGTTCTGATACTCAATAGCAAATCAACAAATTACATAGAGCAACTATTACATACAAAACACTCCATTATAAAGTACTAAAAGTATAAGAAGTGAGAAGTGGCCCCAGTATACACATACACACACACACACACACACACACATAATATATGAAACAAACATTTCCACAATATAGTATAATTTTTTTAAAAAAGATGAAACTGAAAATCTATTATGTACAACTTGCTATTCTTTTTAAATATATAACATCTTGAAGACAGTGTTGAGATCTGATGGCTGAGTAGAAGATTGAAGGACCTTCCACTCTCGAGGGATGCCAAGCACAGCTGTGCTGATCAGACATGTCCAGGGCTGTAGCTGTGGGGAGAAGGAGCTAGCACACACCTGGTGAGTGCAGCAGCAACTTGCAGGGACTCTGTTGGCTGTGGGCACTTGCAGGAGAGCAGAGTTCCTGGGTTCAGTTCTGGGACAGAGAGGACAGCTGTAGCTTGCAGCCACCCGAGGGACTGCAGGTAGCAAGATCATCTGGGGAACAGTTGGTCTGGACTCCATAGCTGTGGTTTGGGAGTGAAGAAGAGAGACCAAGATTGGGGCCTGAGACAGCCCCATGTTAGAAAATAACATGAAGAAGGACCTGAGGCTTGGGACATCATTCCTCATGCCTCAGGACTACAACTTGGTTACACTAATAGCTATTAAAATAAATTAAATTAAATTATAAATAAATAAAAACGAATAAGCAAAGGAGAAGGAACCCAACCATGAATAATTACTATGGGGTTAGAAAAGATCTTGATTCATATTCAGAGGAAGATGATAGAGCTTAAAAAAAGCCACTCCTTTTTCAATGAGAATTGTCAAATGGTTCAAAGAACAAAAAGAGTTCTTGGAAGAACTTAAAAAGGACTAAAAATCAAACAAGAGAGATCAAGGAAAAATAAAAGAGCAAGCTGAGAAAATTATGAAAAGAAAGTCAACCAACTGGAAATAGAGAATCAAAAACTTAAGGAAGAAAATAATTCCTTGTAAACTAGAACTGGGCAAGGGGAAGCCAATGACATTCCAAGATACCAAGAAATCATTTTTAAAAAATCAAAAGAATGGAAAAAAAGAAGAGAAAGTAAAACATCACCTCAGAAAAATTATCAATCTGCATAACGGATTGAGGAGAAATAACATAAGAATAATTGGACTACCTGAAAATTAGGATAAAAAAAGAATCTTGATACAATATTATAATATTGATACAAATTATCAAGGAAAATTGCCCTGAAATTCTAGAACAAGAAGGAAAAGTGGAAATAGAAAAAAAAAATCCACTGATCATCACCTGAGAGAGATCCCAGGAGGAAAACTTACAGGAATATCATAGCCAAGTTTTAAAGCTCCCAGGTTAAAGAGAAAATATTGGAAGCACGAGGGGGGAAAAATCAATTTAAATATCATGAAGCTACAAGAAGGATTACATAAGACCCAGCATCTACTATGACTGTAGGTACTGGAATACTATATTCCATAAAGCAAAAGAGCTAGGATTATGACCAAGGGTAACTTACCCAGCAAAGTTAAATATTATCCTGAATGGGAAAAAAAATGGACATTTAATGAACTCAAAGATTTAAAGACCAATTACAAGGGACTCAATAAGATCAAATGTTTTACTTCTTATATGTGAAAATATTAGCAATACTGTTATGATTGCCATCATTATTTGGGAAGTTTGAAAGAAAGGTATTGGCAGAGTTGAGTATGATGGGGTGATTCTAAAAGAAAAGAGACACAGGAACTATATGAACATAAACATATAAAGCTTTATACAAATAAACTCAGATCTAAGTAATTGAAGTATTAATTTATTATTCACAAGTAGGTAAAGCCAATATAATTTTTAAAATGACAGTTTTACTTAATTAATCTATTTACTCAATGTCATCCCAATTAATTACTGAAAAAAAATTACTGAGTTAGAAAAAATAATAACAAAGTTCATCTGGAAGAAACTTCAGGAACTTCAAAGAAACCAGGAGAAAAGGATATAAAGGAAGTAGGTGAGAACATTGTTGAAGTATAAAAAGGACAATTTTGATTATTTTACATTAAACTTTCCCTATACAAAAAAAAACCCTATGAAGCCAAGAATAGAAGGAATGCAGAAAACTGGGGGGAAACTTTCATAGACAATGTCTCAGATAGCATGTGATTGGGTTGGAATATTGCTCTGGTGTAGGAAACAATGAGCTGGTTGATTTAGAAAAACATGTAAAGACTTAGACTTATAAAGGAAGATGCTATCCATCTTCAAAGAAACAGATGATAGGAGGAAATAAGCTTAGTGCAGTCTAACATATGTGTATGAGTATATATGTGTATGTTTATAGATCTGTGTATGTATGTGTGTGTGCGTTTCTCCATACTTAATTGCAGCCTTCTTGGGGGTGGGAAGGGGAAAATAAAGGAAAAAGTACACAGCAGAGAACAAAAGAAAACCAATGATAAAGCAAAGAAAAACTGGACAGCTTTGAAAACAATGTGTAGTACTCATTATATAGGTTTCCTTGAAATGGAAATTTATTGTTTTATGTTGAATTCTCTCTTGCAGTCTGCTGTACACATGGCAATGTTTTTTTTCCCTTTTCCCATTTTGTATTTGAGTTTAAAATTTTAAAAATTTACCAAAAAAAAAACCCCAAAAACAAAAAAAAGAAGAAGAAGCTGTAGTATATGCAGCAGCCACATCCCAGTAAGCCTTCTCAGCAGACTGGCTAAACCAGGTTGAGAGCAACTGACAGACCTTAAACCCCTCAGTAGTTTAGGAGGGTGTCTACCCCAAGCATGTGAAGACTTCCCCCAATGGAACTGGTGGGTGAGAACAATTTGTTCTACCAACTGTGGAGGCAATTCAGGTAGGCACCGTGGAGCACTTAGAGCTTGGGCAGATATCAAAGACACCAAGTTCATCCACTGCATCCCTGTCCATCACCAGTCATCCTGACTTTTGTCTTGTCATTGGACCTCTGATGACTCTGGAAGACAGAGTGAGGCTGATGGCTTTGTGTACCTTTGCCTCGCTTAAACCCAAGTTACATGCAAGTCAAGACATTACCCAGTGATGTCATTGGTACTCTTCCAAAATGAAAGACAAACAATGTTTTGACATACAGAAGGAGAAGGAGAAGAAGATTATTAAAGTTCCTTGCAAGTGAGAATTGTTTTATTCATTGTACTCATATCCCCAGCAGATAGCACAGTGCTTAGCACACAGTAGGTGCTTAATAAATGCCTGTTGATTGACTGAAACTGTGAAGTGCTATGCTTATCGCAAGAACCAAGCATATAATTCAAACCTAAAATGTTGTTCCAACTCTGCCCTGTTTGTCTGATTCCCATCTAAACTTTCTTCTACATGAGTCTGTATATGTTTAAAATTTTAGTTTTCAACATTCACTTCCACAAGATTTTGAGTTCTAAATTGTTTCCCCATCTTGTCCCTCCCCCCACCCCAAGGTGGTGTGCATTCTGAATACCCCTTCCCCTAGTCTGGCCTACCTTCTTTCATACACATTCCCCTTCTCTTATCCTCTTCCCTTTCTATTTTCCTGTAGGGCAAAATAGATTTCTATACCCCATTGCCTGTATATTGTATTTCCCGGTTTCATGTAAAAACAATTTTTAACATTTGTTTTTAAAATTTTGGGTTCCAAATTCTCTCTCTTTCTGCCTCCCCACCCCAACCCTTCTCATAGAGAAGACAAGCAACTCGATATAGGTTATACATGTATAGTCATGCAAAACACTTCCATAATAGTCACAATAGTTATGTTGTGAAAAAGTAACTATATTTCCCTCCATCCTATCCTTCCCCCTGTTTATTTTATTCTATTCTATTCTATCCTATTCTGTTCTGTTCTCTCCTTTGACCCTGTGCCTCCTCAAAAATGTTTGCTTCTGATTACCCCCTCCCCCAATCTGCCCTGCTTTCTATCATAACCCCTTCTTATTCCTTTCCCCCCTATTTTCCTGTAGGGTAAGATATATTTCAATACCCAATTAAGTGTACCCTCCTTGAGCCAAATCCATTGAGAGTAACCTTCACTCGTTCCCTCTCATCTCTCCTCTCTTCCCCTCCACCGTAAAAACTTTTTCTAGTCTGTTTTATGTGAGATAATTTACCCCAGTCTACCACTCCCTTTTTTCTTCTCCCAGTATAATTTTCTCTCACTCCTTAATTTTATTTTTTAGATATCATCCCTTCATATTCAACTCACCCTATGCCCTCTGTCTACATATATACGTATGTATGTATATATACATACATATATATACACAAACACATGCAGACACACACACACACGTATTCCCTCCAACTACCCTAATACTGACAAAGGTCTCTTGAGTTACAAATGTCATCTTTTCATATAGGAATGTAAACAGTTCAACTTTAATTAAAGTCCTTTATGATTTCTCTTTCCTGTTTACCTCTTCATGCTTCTCTTGAGTCTTGTATTTGAAAGTCAAATTTTCTTTTCTGCCCTGGTCTTTTCATCAAGAATGCTTGAAAGTCCTCTATTTCATTGAATATCTATTTTTTCCCCGAAGGATGATACTTAGTTTTGCTGGGTAGGTGATTCTTGGTTTTAATCCTAGCTTTGATCTCCAGAATATCATATTCCAAGCCCTATGATCCCTTAATGTAGAAGCTGCTAAATCTTGTGTTATCCTGATTATGTTTCTATAATATTTGAATTGTTTCTTTCTGGCTGCTTGTAATATTTTCTCATTAACCTGGGAAGTCTGAAATTTGGCTGTAATATTCTTAGGAGTTTTTCTTTGGGGACCTCTTTCAGGAGGTGATCTGTGGATTCTTTCAATTTCTATTTTATCCTCTGGTTCTAGAATATCAGTGCAATTTTCCTCGATAATTCCTTGAAAAGATGACATTTAGGCTGAGTCTGTATATGTTTAATAATTCATTAATACTCTCTTCTTTTTCTATAGTATCACTATCACACTGCTCCCACATCACTCCCCAACTTCCCCCAAAAAAGAAAAATAAAATCCTTCTCTTGTAATAAATAAGTACTGTAGTCATTCAAAACATTCCCACATTGGTAATATCTTTAGGAAAAAAAAAAGTCTCATTCTGCACTTTTGATGCTCACCTTTCAGCCAAGGGGTGAAGAGCTGATTTGTTACCAATCTTCTGAAGTTATAACCGGACTTGTGTTGTTGTTCATCCCTGTAGGACTACAAATTGAAGATAAGTTGCAGATCTGCATTGGTAGAGGGAATTTCCCCACCCAGAATTCCCTCCACATAGAAAATCACAGATCTAGACAAAACCAAACAAATTTAGGTAGATGCTATTATGCTAGAAAAGTGATTTTTGTTCTTGGCCATAAACAGTCTTTTTTTTTTCAAGGATTAACTAAAAAATTGGGTTTTATAACAACATCCACTTATCCTTTGCACCAGGATTCCCTCACCCTTTTTCCTGCATCTATTGCTACTAATATTGAAATAACGAGTTTGAATGTGAGAAAATTATTAAGCAGGATCACTGTGGTTAAGTGTTTTTTGGCTAGGCAATGGGGTTAAGTGACTTGCCCAGGGTCACACAGCTAGAAAGTGTCATATGTCTGAGGCTGGATTTGAACTCAGGTCCTCTTGAGTCCAGGGGCAGTGCTCTACCCACTGCACCACCTAGCTGCCCTCTTTTTTTCTTTCAAACTAGATGCATAATTTTGCTGGGTAGAAAACTAGTGAAAGAATAACTTCTATCAAAGCATTTTTGCTGAGTACTCTGCAGTTTAAAGCCTTAGAGACTAGAGAGAGTTACCTGAGGGCAATGAGAGTTATGTAAGTAGTCTAGGGTCTCCCAGTCAGTATGGGTCTGAAAGGAACTTGAGCTTAGGCCTTTCTGCCTGAAGCTGGCTGGATTTTCATTTTGCATTCTACACCTGCCTCTGTCTTTAGTACTAACATTTTGTCCAGAAGTCCTATGATAAAAACAGGAAAGCTTTGGCCCAGAACAGAAACTCATGATTACAGCAGTGTCTACAGGAGGCAGGGCTATAGAGTGCTGTAATCACCAGAAACAGAACAGGAAACAGAGCTACAGCTGTGAAGAGAGGGAAACCACCATGTTCCCTAGGGTTTGGCTCTTCATATCCATTATCAGCAGGTGGCTTGGGCTCCTACCTCAACTATTCTTCTGCCCACTCTACCCCCGTTCTCTCAGACATAAAGCAATTGAGTAGAACTACGCAGGGCCAACTAACCTCAACAGCTGTAAACATTTGCTATGAGCTAAAGACTTCAACTGAATTGGACAGAAATTACTTTGGGGATCAGTCATTTCAACCACTCCCTTCCCTATGTTCACATACTTGATCACCATAGCCACACACACAAGAACACAAACTTGAACACAGACACACACACACACACACACACACACACACACACCCCTCCAACAAGAGAAGGATGAAGTGCACAGGCTTAGCATTTCCTAGGTTTTTCATAGGAATAAAAGCTGTTAAAAATGCTAAAGATTAGGGGCAACTAGGTGGCGCAGTGGATAGAGCACTGGCCCTGGATTCGGGAAGACTTGAGTTCAAATGTGACCTCAGATACAAAGCCCTTACTAGCTGTGTGACCCTGGGCAAGTCACTTAACTCTAATTGCCTAAAAAAAAAAGATCATCTGGTTCAAACCTCTTTATTTTACATGCAACAGACCCTCTGGACTACTCTCCTAATTTTCATTTATACTCTTGGCTTAGTTCCCCAGAGGGTGACTGCTACCCCAAGTTCAAAGGCAGAGGAGGATGCTAATGTCACTTGCTCCTACTACTATGCCTGATGAGTCCCGATGTGCTTCCTATTAATAATTAGTCCATAGGTGCAATTGTTGATGTTTAGTCAATTTAGTATCTGGCTCTTCATTAACCCATTTAGGGTTTTCTTGGCAGAAATACTGCGGTGGTTTGCCATTTCCTTCTCCAGCTTATTTTACAGATGAGGAAACTGAGGCAAATAAATTACTTACCCAGGGTCACATAGCTAGTAAGTGTCTGAGGCTGGATTTGAACTCACGTCCTCTTGACTCCAGGGTCAGTACTCTGTAGATGCAATTAGCTCTTAGCAAAGGCGCTTACTGAGTGCTTTTTTTTACATAGCTTTCATTTCCCTTATAATCCGGGGCACAGTTTCCTGCAGATATAAATACCATCTATAAAAAGAGAATGTGCAGATTTAGGGTACAGTGGTAGTGAGGCATATATGTGGGGAACATACATGGTAAAGGATATTCACTAGTCTAGTATTAAAGGGACTAAAAGTCTTTTCTCTCCAGTGAGGCAAATCTCTTCCTGTGTGCAACATCTCAGCTGGGTGAGTTCTTCAGCTGGGCTTCCTGGGTCTGCTCCTGTCTACACCTTGACTCGAATGGCTAGGGCTAGCCCATTCACAAAGTCTACAGCTAGCCCCCTTCCCTGCTTTTAAAAGTCTTGCTTCTTTCCTGAAAGCAACACCCTTCCTCAAGTGATTGCCTCTGAATCCATGTCATTGAAAGTGGTTTTTTTGGTTTCCATGGATACATTATCCCCAAGAAATACAGTAGATCTATTTCAAAACAACATGGCTGAAGGAGGGAGGAGGGAGAAATTCTCCCCTGCCTTCACTATCCCCAGTGGCAAGTCTCTCTCTACGGCCAGGTACTTCTAACTATTGCTGAGCTAGCAGCTCAGCTTTTTAATGGTCCTTAGAGGCAAGGCTGATTTTCCGCTGCCCAGTTGACAGTTTGACAATTGATAATTCTTTAAATTCTGTCGGAGAAGAGTATTCATGCTTCATAAAATATCTTTTTACTAGTACTTCATTCCCTCTGTTATATACACTTTGTTTTCTCTTATATCACCTATGGTGCGGAGAGGGGAGATGAGGAAATCTTTTTTGCACATTCTTCTCCATATTTAAATATTTGCTGTTTTGGGCAAATCAGTTGGGTTTGTTTCTCTTTTCTCTAAAGTCCAGAAAAATCCATGTGGCACAGTTCTTAATCTAAAATAAACATTCTTCCGTAAGTTTATAGATCTATCATAATTAGCATACATGGGAATTAGATTTATGCCCAAATACATGGTTGTACATTGTAACTAGTGGCATTCATAAAATTCTGGTAGTTATAACTCGTGTTGGTGCTTTCAAAGCCTTCCCCAATCCAAAGATCTGAAGGAAAGAAGAGGAAAATCCAGCTTTCCTCCTCAGAGGGAAAACCTAGTCCCTACAGTTTCCAATTGAGAAATCAGTGTCCTGTGCTGAAAATTTCTGTAAGTACTGGCAACAAGAAACTAGACGTTCCAACTTACCCTCCCTCACTAAGTCAAGCAAGGCTATCTTAAAAAGGAGTAAATTTGGGGGCAGCTAGGTGGTGCAGTAGATAGAGCACCGGCCCTGGAATCAGGAGGACCTGAGCCGGCCTCAGGCACATAATACTTCCTAGCTGTATGACTCTGGGCAAGTCACTTAACCCCAACTGCCTCACTTAAAATAAAAAAAAGGGATTAAATTTTGAAAGGCCCCAAAGAGGCGTGGGGATCCCTAACAGAGACCAAGTATATCCTTCCTCTCCATACACAGATGAAATTGAAGCCTAGAGAGGTGAAGGTACTTGTTTAGGATTACATAGATTATACATAGGAAAGGCGGGATTTGAATCCTTATTTTCTGATTCGACCACACAGCCTCACAGATACTATAGACCTGCCGGAAGGAGAATGACCGGTATGGAGAGCTAAGGACCATTTAACTAGGCTGGCGGCACCAAGACATTGAGTCCCTTGCCCAGAGCCCAACAGCCCACCCGGCACAAAGGACGTATGCCTCTGGAAGACTTTCACCACCCTCCACTTCCTTTGCCCATTTTCTATCCTGCCTTTGGAAACTATTGTCTCTGAGCAAACCCAGTTTCTCTTGCAGTCTGAGAAAAGTAATCCATTACAAATTGCTTGGGGTTGGTCTGTGGACTAACCCGGAGCTGGTCAGAGACAAGACGAGTGAGCAGATTAGCCGGAGAGGTGAAGAGGCGCTCAAGAGACCGTGCACGGACGAGTAGGGGACGAGTGGGGAAGGGTAAAGGCGGGGGCGTGGCGTGGGCAGGGCTTAGACTGTGGAAGGAGGAAACTGCGGGCGGGAGCCGTCCGTCACTACTCCCTCAGACCAAGACTGTGTTGTTCGTGGCAGAACTGACAGCTGTGCGGTTGCAGCCTCAGGTTGCGGAAGATATTAGAGCTCGGATTCTTCTGCTCTCCAAGCCACTGTGGGTCACCATAATCTCTCTCTTGCGCTCACAACATGCCCCTGAAAAGGTGAGTGAAAAGAAAGGAGGAGGGTGGTGGGACGAGGGCGGATAGGGGAAGAGAAGGGTCACTGAATCAGGATTCTCAATGCCTGCTAAAACTGTATAACCAGCCCACTCTCCCACCTACACAGCCCAATCGGGTTCTCCCTGGGAGTTGGAAGCCGCCCAGGTGCTTTGGGAGGGAAGAGGGCAAAGAAAGCGGCGGCACCAGCGGTTCCAGCCCCCCCTAAGGACCCCAAGGGGGAGGCGGCTGAAAGTGACTGATCGTTAGCTAAACAAAATTACCTCAAAAACTTGTCGGGCAGGGCAGGCTGGGTAGCCAGCCCTAAGTAGGAGACCGGGAAAGAAAAGAGTAACTTGGGTCACTTGCCGGGGTCTAAGGCGTTATTAAACAAGAGCCAGCTGTAGACCCGGAATGGGAGCTGCTGCATTTAGCTGACTGGGCGAGAGATGGGAGAGAAAGTCAGCTCTCAGAGGCATTTCTATAAGGGGCACCCCTAGGCTTAAAACGAACTAATTATTGTAATAAGGTGTTAGCCAAGGAAATTTAGTAATGAGGGAAGAGTTTCTGCAGGAAGGCTACCTCGCAGCAAACGTTTATATCTGAGTTTCAGCACATAGAAGACTTTTTAAAGTAAGTATCGGAAAGGAGGGATGGGTATGTGACGAGGGAAGAGTAGCAAAGTTACACTCGTGTCACAAATGGATATTTTACCAGAAATCCATAAATGAAGGTAACTAGACATTCTCTAAATAAGTAGTAGAAAGGCATCACGCATAACCTGCCGGGGGGGGGCGGGGAGTAAAAAGGCAGGAATTAAATGTATTGTGCAAAACCACGATCATAAAGATTTCACTTCAATGAACTACTGATTGTCAACTTCTACTTATATGCCTATGCTCAGTATATGTTATGTGGCACAGTGGAGGAGGAGTGGGGGGATGAAAAGATTAATAAGTTGTAGCCCCTACCTTCAAAGAGGAGAGTTAAGATACAGGCCCACAACTGTAATATAATGCAGAAAGAAACACCAAAAGAGAGGTTCCCCAGAAAAGTAAGCTATGAGAGTGCAGGGAGAGATCGCCTTTGACAGGAGAGATCAGGAAAGGCTTCATGGAGGAAGACAGTATTTGAACAGAACCTGGAATGGTGGGGTAGGTTTTTTAGCAGATGGATAGGAGGGGGGTGGAAGTGGCCTGGCAGATCGGGAGAAGCCCAAGCAAACACATAGAAGAAGGAAAGCTAGGGACGGGTTCCAGAACTGAGAGAGAAAACCAGTTCGTAAGATCATATGTGGAAAGTGTTGAATACCATGCTAAACAGAAGCAGAGAACCAAGGAAAATCTTTGAGCCGGGAGTGATTTAATCAGAGATATGCTTTAGGAAAATTAATAAGGCAGCCCTATTTGGGAGGAATTAAAGAGGAAGGCGACAGGAGACAGGATTCTTATTATTTATTATCTATTAACTCGATTTTTTTAAAAAAGTGTTAAAATTGTTTTTTACATGTAATTGGGAAAAAATGTTTTGTTTTGTTTTAAAGAGACTTGAAGTAGACCTGCCAAAAGGTAGATAAAAGCCTGAACTAGGTTGATAGTAATGGGGCCAGAAAAGAGGGGAAGGACAAGAGAAACATTGCTAAGGGATGGACTTCATACGTCTAGGTGAATAATGGAAAGAGATGGGAGGAAAAAGGAAAAGGGAATTAAAGATAGAAAAAAAAATTTTTTACAAAATAATTGTAAAAGCCTTGATGACTGAGAAGATGGTAGTGTCCTTAAGAAAAACAAAGAAGCCAAAAGGAAGAATAGGTTGAGGGGAAAATAAAAAATTCAATTTAAGACATTGAAGTTGAGGAGTAGGCAAAAATCCACGTGCGGTTGGGGAGTGACAGATAACTTTAAATATTTTAACAGCTTAGCATATCTCTTTATTACATATGTAAACACATGCATACTGTCATGAACAGGGCTAGCTATAATAGGTCCCCTAATAACATTATGTTGTGAATTTTGTAAATTTCACCAAATCCCCAAATGCCACTCCTATACAGCTTAATTTTTTTAACTTTCCACTAACCTGAAATTCTAGAGACTTTTGATTCTAGATTAAAACTGGAAGGAGCCTTAGAGATCATTGAGTCCAGTCCCCATTTTACTGAAGGACAACTTACCTAAGGTCATCTTTCTCCTCTCCATAAAAACCTATTCCTTTTTCTCTCTGGACCAGTGACTCCTTCATATACCTGTTTGTTTTTCACACTTGAATGTTTAAATGTTGTAGAATTAGAACTAAAATCTTCTGACTTCAAATCTAGAACATTTCCCCTTGTTCCTTCTTTTAATTTTCACTGCTTCTTCTTTTCATGTAAAGACCTTACCTCACACTTTAGTGTGAATTATAATCCAATTGTTTTTCTCTTAATATCATATGAAGGAGTGGGAGTTTTGATAGGGGAAGTGAAAAAAGGTCATTTTGAATTCAAGTATGAGGAACTGGAGATGGAGAGCAGAGGAAGAAGAGAGGGGGAGGGAAGTTTTGGAGATGCCAGAGAGTAGGTAGTAACTGGTGCTTGAGGGATGAGGAAGGGGAGGAGAAGGGGATGTCTGAAAGAGACACTAAGCACAAAAGATAAATGTTATTTACTTCACAATATTTCTTCAAAACTGTCTAAGGTAACAATATTTCAATTCTGCATCCTATACATGTGATGGCCCTATTTGAGACTACTGGCCAAGATCACATATTGATTCTATGCTATATACAATTGATGGGTTGCCACAATCACACATCAAAATTGCCCAAAAGGAGGTATGACTAGAGAAGGAAATGAGCCAGTCATGTATTGGGAGTTGAGGCATAGCTCATGGACAGCATGCATTCTCCACTGGTACCCATGCAATATCAAGAGGTCTAGTATATGGCCCCCAAAACTTTGAATATACCCCTTGTAAAGTAGAACATAGGAGGACATGGGTAAGGGTTACACAAAACTGGAATGGGTTAGAATCTTCATCTGCAAAGATTCTGAGAGCTGAGAGTTTAGCTTTTATTTTTTTAAGAAAGATTAGGACTGAGGGAATTAGCTGTCATCTGTGAGGGGACTATGAAAGTTAATTGTTTTCTTGTGAGAGGATGTTAAGATACATTGTGAGTAAACTGCATTTAACTCATTTTGTAAAGAGATATTATGAAGAGAATTCCTGAAACATTGGAGTTACCATTCTAATAGAACAGTTGTATCCAGAATTGAGGAGTCAGTAACAGTACTGAATGACAAGGGCTGAATATTCCATTTCATGTCTCTTTTTTTCTGCCTTTTGAAGAATTCAAAGGTGACTCTGTGAACTTTGTTCACAGCAATACACTGTAAATATTAACGTATGACTGTATTTTTATTTGCTACTACAAAATTGTATGTTTCTTTAAAGTTATAGGACTAGGAGTATAAGACAGATGGGAAGGTTGCAGAGGGAGAGAGAGAGAGAGAGAGAGAGAGAGAGAGAGAGAGAGAGAGAGAGAGAGAGAGAGAGAGAGAGAGAGAGTTGAAAGTGGAGAAAATAGTTTTCTCTGTTCTATTTATATACTAGAGTGAAGGCCCAGAGCTAATGGATTAATTAATGAGAGATGGTGTATACTATTAATTTATAGGCTTTATCAGATTCAGGAACTGAGGGCTAATAAATTATTATAATCATGCATAAAAACATGCTAAGATATTAATTTGGTCAACTGGGCCTTCACTGCAGCAACACAATCCCTTCTACTCTTCCTTAATTGATTCTCTACCCCCATTCACCACAGCAGCTTTTGCATTCATCTGTCCTCAAATTTTCCATGGCCTCTTTTCCCCATACCCTCTCAGTTAAGAATATGCACATATTTCTCTCTGTCTCTGTGTCTATCTCTGTCTCTCCCCCCACCCCATACACACACACACACACACACACACACACTTAATGCCATTTGATTAAAACATCCTCTTCTCTCCTTCTCATCTTACATCCGTCCAACAGAATCCTCCACTATGTTCCTTCACTTTGATGACCCTTCTACTTGTCAAGGCCCTTTCCTCCACCCTTGAGCCATTCTTCTACAGCAGGTTGTCCCCTCTGTCATACTCATACTGTCTCTAATCTTCAGCTTCCTCCTGTCTACTATCTCCTTACCTGCTGCCTATAAGCATGCCCATATCTTACACATCCTCAGAACCACCTCATTTGATCCTACTTTCCCCTCTGGCTATTATCCCACATCTCTTTCCCTTATCAGCTAAACTCCTTGGAAAAAAAGCCATCTACAAATTGGTACCTCCACTTCCTCTCCTCTTACTCTCTTCTAAGTCTTCTGCAATGTCTTCTAGCCTCTTAATTCAACAGAAACCATATTCCCCAAATGATTTCTTACTTGCCAGACTTAATGGCCTATTCTCAGTTCTCATCCTTTTTGGCCTCTCTTGCAGTGTTTGACACTGTTGAGCATTATCTCTTCTTTCTAGGTTTTCCTGACACTGCTTTCTCTTTGTCCTCCTCCTAACCTGTCTAACTGTTCCTTCTTAGTGTCCTTTGCTGAATCTTCATCCAGGTCGTGCTCACCATCTGCAGTGTAAGAACTCTGCCTTGGGCCCTCTTTTCTGTCTATACAATCTCTCTTGGCAGTTCATTAATGCTCAGGGGTCCATCTATCATTGTCATACAAATGTTTCCCTGATCTGTAGTCAGTCTTTAGTCTCCTGAGATCTAGTCTATCATCATTGCCTATTGAATAGATAGCCAAAAGTGAACTATTTTTTAAAATTTTTGAATTTTTTCCTAAAGTATTTCCCTCTTCCAAACTTCCCCATAACCGTTTAGGGTACCACCAGCTTCCCAGTTACCTAAGTTCATAACCTTAAGGTCTTCTTCATTTCTCCTCTCTCAACACTCACATATCACATTTGTCACCAGATCTTATTTCTCCCTTTACAATATCTCTTCTATACGTCCCCTTCTCTCCACTCACACAGCCACTACCCTAGTTCAAGCCCTCATTACCTCTCTCCTACACCATTATAGTAGCCTACTAATTGATATCCCTGCCTCACATCTCTCTTGACTTCAATCTACCATTCATATAGCTACCAAAGGGATTTTCCTAAAATGTAGGCCTATAGTGCTCAATAAACTACAGTAGCTTCCTATTATCTCTAGGATCAAATATGCAGCAAATCTTTGCATAGCCTGCCTGATTTCCACATTTCCCGTCTTCTTATACGCTGCTCCCTTCTGCCAACCCCTAATTCTTTTTGAAATTTATTTTATTTTTAATTTATAGAACAAAACAAGCATTTCCATAACATAGTTTAATAAAAAAGATAAGTGCACATGAAACTGCAAATCTATTCCTTTTAAATATACAACAAATTTATCATGTATTCCTTCTTTTTCTGTTTTTTCTTCCCTCTTCCTCCCCGAGTCCTAGAGATGGCCACCATTAGACGCAAATAGATGTGTGTATATACACACATATACATACATATGTATGTACATATATATATACACACATATACATACATATATATGTACATATATATACACACACATTTGTGTATATATGTATATGCACACACGTATATACACCTGTATGCATATCTATACATGTGTATATGTATATGCGCGTATGTATATGTAAAATTATTCTACGCATACTTTTATTTATTAGTTCTTTCTGTGGATGCAACTAGAGCCTTTCCATGTTGTTTACAGTTAATTTGGGTATTTATAATAGTCAAAACAACTTCTTTGCTCAAAGTTGTTCTTAAAACAATATTACCCTTACCGTTTACGCTGTTCTCTTAGTTCTGCTCATCTCTCTCTTTGTTATTTCATGCAAATCCTTCCATGTTTTTTCCCCAATCCCCAATTCTATGACCCGGACATACCAACCTACTTGCTGTTCTTGAAGATAAGATTTTGCCTGCTGTCTTTTGTCATATTCCTCATGCCTGGAATGCTCTTCTTCCTCAGCTCTGCCTCTTCGAGTCCCTGGCTTCCTTCAGCAGCCTGCTCAGGTATCAGTTTCCTTAGGACACCTTAACCAATCCCCTCAAATGCTAGAGCTTTCTGCCTTAAGGTTACCTTCCATATGCCTATATATATCCTGTATATATATCGTTCTTTACATGTTTTCTCCTCCATTCAAATGTAAACACCTTGAGGGTGGGAACCATTTTTGTCTTTATTTGTAACCCCAGTGTTTAGCACTGGGTCTGACATGGATTAAGCACTTCATAAATGCTTGTGGATTGGTTGAACTTAATTCATGACTGCGCTTTCCTGAGCTTCAGTTTCTTCGTCTGTAAAATGAAGGAATTGTACTAACCAACTGTAGGGATCTGGCATTCTATAATTCAAATAAAGCTAAGAAATAATATTAGAGTTCTTCCTGTGCTGTTCAGGGAATGGTAATGATGAAGTTTTTTTCAGACCACATTATTGAGCCAGAGATCTCACTGATTTGTAGAAATTATATTCATAGGCTTAATCTTTAATCTGCAGCCTTTTATTTAATTTTAAAGATCAGAATACTGAGGAACACTATTCTCATAAGCCCCAGATATTCAGTCTCATATTTCTAAGCGTTATTTCAGTGCTCTTTCATTCCTTCTCAAATTACAGTATATGTAATTATGTATTTATGAGCTGTGTCTGCCAGGTAGAATGTAAGCTTCCTAAGGGCAAGGTCTGTGATAGATTTAGTCACTGAATGCCCAACAAACACCTGCTCCAATGCCTGTGCAGAGTAGGCACTCAGAGCTTACTCATTTGGGTTGGATTAATACAATATTTTAATAGTGGGCTAGGTTACCAGAAGTACACTCGGAATAAGTTCACAGGTGGCCTCTTCATAGTTGATTTTTAAAATCCAAGTTGCCTTATTACCAGGTGCCTCAAAGTTTTCTGTTATTGGCTACTATAAAACAGAACGTAAAATGCTACTGTCTTTTCCACCATGCTCCCTCTCCATTTCTCCTGACTAGGACATTTAGTTATCCTCTTGATGGAGAAATAACCTGGAAATATGTGTTTGTTGACTCACAGAAAATGAAATTGCCCGTTTGTATCTCCATATAATGTAAATATGCACACCTACAAAGTCAGCTTTTATGGTTCTTAGTTTCCTTCTGATGTCACATAGTTACTGATAGCAAGCATTTACATATGCTTTAGGCATTTAAGGTTCGCAAAATGCTTTACAAATAGTATCTCACTTGATCCTCACACCAACCCTGGGAGGTAGCTGCCATTATTATCCTCATTTTATTTTACAGCTGAGGAAACTAGGCAGATAGCTCAGGGTCACACAGCTAGTAAGTATATGAGGTTGGATCTGAAGTCAAGCCTTCCTGATTCTAAGTCCAGAGCTCTATCTACTGCACCACTAATGTTTCTGTTATTTGCTATTTATTTTATTATAGTACTGGATTCCTCTTGCTCCTTTTTGGTTGTCTGAGAGCTGGTAAGTCCATAATATTTCCATTGGGATCTGTAGACACATAGTAGTAAAAGAGATCATTACCCAAATCTCCCCACTTTTCCATAGCAAAAGTTGCTTAATCTAAAGCTATTTCATTTAACCTCTAGTCTACCTTTCTGTCTTGCTGTTTGAAAAAACAAAACAAAACAAAGCAATTAAAGTCAGAATTTCAGCCTAGCCTCAGCTATTTCCTCAAGGCAAAAACACTCATGCTTTCCTAGATTTTGTAATTCTTACATAGGTAAAAATCCATCTCTGCCTCAGGTGAAAATGCAGCAAATATGCCCCTCCCACTCCATTTATTCATTTGAAACCTCATTCTGAAATCATTAACCTATAGCTTCTGTTGCTGCCTTTACCATGGCTGTATGCTCTATATATTACAGGGCTGATCAACCTGTTTATTTCTAAGAACTAATAACTTCCACAAAGTGCTAGAAAAAAGTCCCTTAATTGTCAAAGCCAGCTGCATATTGTCCTCTGCTTGGATAATAAGGGAGAATTCTAAAAGTTGTGTTTCTTTGTGGTCCAGTTCAGTTAACCTATAATTGTTACAATTACTTCTTTTTTAAACTTCTATGCCAAGCAAGTGGGGAAAAAACCCATAACCTATATTAATAATGCTAGGCATTTCATGACTCATCATCAAATTATTATATCCACAGGAAATAATCACTTATTTTAAATGTGTAATCATAGAAGTTTTGCTGCAATCTTGTATGATTTTATTCTGTTTGGGGATCAAAATGTTTTCCAGTGAAATAGATCTCCAGTTTTATAATAATTAATGTAATTAATTTTCTAATTCATGATAAAATAAGGTTCAATATGAAAAAATTTAAGTTTCAGAGAAATTTTTCATAATATGCCGATTCCATAAATTGAGTCACACTACATTGTAGTTATAGGTTTCTGCTCAGGGAATGGTTGAATAAATATGGGCAGGATCATATGTATTCTGAGTTAATAGCTTCCTTTGGCTTATCCTAATCATTTCTTTATATCAGGTTAAATAAAATCATTTAAATTAAATCCAGTATATGAGAATGGGCAATTGACCATGAATCAGGGAAACTTCTAACAGAATTTTGAAATGGTTTTTTTTTCCATTTTGTTTTGCAACTGAAGTAACAATTGAACTCTGTTCTTGTACACAGAGTCAAGCAGTTTTCCTAAGTAATATTTAAAACATTTGTTACAAATCTAAGCAGTGAAAAACTTCATTGTAATGTACACATAAGGTATTATTAACTTTTTTCCCTTTAAAACCATACACTGAGCTCCATGTAGTTCTAATTCAAAGGCCAGGATAGACTGACTTTATGCAAATTATGAGATAGGTAGTATTGGTTCTAGCTGCCTTGTTCTGCACCCTCTTCCCACCTCATCTTCCTTACACTGTAGTACTCAGAGTTTTCCAAATCTGCCTTTAAAAATTGGCTCACATATTCTTCTTTCACACTAAGGTATAAATTATTGAGACCCACTTGAAGTAACAGCCCTCATAGCAAAGTCTTGAGCTAAAGGAATGAAACTCTGATAGACCTCAGATAGCAGCTAAAAGAGGAAATGATGAATTAGGGCATCTTCCTAGGATCCCTGACATTATATCACATGAGCACAGCCCCTCCTCAGCCTGCACAGAAAGATAAAAATGGGAGTGGTCTAGCCTTACCAAAGACCAATACAACATGTATCTCCATGTAGAATTTTCCTGCAGACCTTCTTAACTCCACAGGAGTAAAAGGCATTTTATTTTATCAATAAAATAATACATGCCTTCCCCTCCTCATGGTGTCACTGTGATAGAGCTGTAGAGCATAGGGTAGAAAAAGATGGTAGTATCACTAGTGTCTTCTTAGGAGCCACATAAATGAAACAAACAGACCTGGATGGGATTTCCCATTTTGTCCTTGCTCCATACTTTGAGGAGACCCATGAAATATAGAAAGAATCACTCTCATAGTAATGGCTATTGAAAAAGTACAATTTTTATACCTTTTTTAATACTCCTCCCCTTACATGAGGAACCAAGAAAAATGTATTATAGATTCTCTGATGAGTTTAGAAGTGAGAAAATAAATCTAGGAGACAGTGAAGGAAACTGAAAACCTTATAAAAATGGGCTCTTTCCTAGACCACACTAATCTATTTTATTTTGAACATTATTGTATTCTAATTCATCCATGAGTTGTTTCAAAAGCCAAAAATATAAACTTTGCATATTATTATTCTATATGAAAATGAACAACAATAGAAAGCTACTAGATTGTACAATTAGCACAGTGCCTGACACGTGGGAGGCACTTAAGAAATGCTTATTCTCCCCTTCTTCTCCATTGTACTTTTAAATATTATTTATATAGTCTTTTCGGTGCCACCATGTTTTTAGTTTCAAAATGTGAAAAAATAGTCAATGTAGTGATTTCTAACTCTGGCCTGGTTTATGAGCTATTTCTAGTTTTCTCAAGGCATGTCACAAAAATTTAAAAGAAATTTTCCAAACAAAATTAAAGTTAAAGCACATACATAGGAGAGGAGATCATGTTTTTACAATGGGAGTACTACTACCCAGTAATTACTTGTTGCTCATTAAGAGGAGATTGAGAATCTTTCTAATTCTTTTAAGTTTTATGCAACTATGTTTATCATATTTTGCTCTAGAGAGACCCATCTGAGGCTTACTCTTATGTATGCTAAAGAAAGTTGACTAATAGGAGACCACAAAATATTACAAGGACAGTGAGTCAGCCCAAAGGGGTTGGAAATCATTAAGGTGTTAATGTAGTTGGTTAAACACATGTGTCCATAGTTCTTTGCAATGAGGAACATAATATGCACAAAGTTGAACATAAGTGATCACTAGGTGTACTATTATTTGTATTTAAAAATACAAATTTATACCCTCTGCAGTGGCAGAAATTTCACCTGATCCTATGTATTTCAACAATCCTTTGTGGTTGTTGTTCAGTCTTGTCCAACTCTTTGTGACTCCATTTGGGGTTTTCTTGACAAAAATCCTGGAGTGGTTTGCCATTTCCTTCTCCAGATCATTTTACAGATGGGGAAACTGAGGCAAGCAGGGTTAAGTGATTTGTCCAGGGTCACACAGCTAAGTGTCTGAGGCTGGCTGGATCTGAACTCACGAAGATGAGTCTTCCCTATTTCAAACCCAGTACGTTATCTACTGTGCCACTAGTTACCCCAACAATCCTTTACTTGTCTTCAAACTTGTCAGTTCTTGACATTTTTAGCCTATAATCCTCTCTTGGCTATTGGAAATAATGTTGGGTTAGAAGTCAGGTCCCCCCCCCTTCCACTAGTTAGCTTTATGACCTTGAGCAAAGGATTTCCAACTCCCTGGAGCTCTTCAAAATTGGGAGAGGGAGAGATTAGACCAGACTGATCGCTAGGATCCCTTCCAGATCCAACTTTATGTTGTACCATACTACTCTGTTTCTCATTCACTGAACATTCTCCTTGGTGCTACTGTTAACTTTGAAATTCTTTTTCTGAGATTATTAAATTATTCAGTGCTTCTGGGCAATAAGTTGATAATCTCTATTTAATTGCTAAAGTGATTGTTACCTGGGGAAGGGAGGATATAAGTATCTTCTATTAAGTACAAATGTATTGTAGTCACAAACATTATTTGTAAAATCACACTTGTGAATACATTCACAAAGAAGATAAATAACTTGAAAGGCTAAGAGAAAATGTTCATAAATTAATTTTGCACTCTTTTTGTCTTTGCAGCTATAATGGAAGAAGTACATGGTATGGTAGGCGGCAATGTTGACTTAAGCTGCATTAGTCCTGAAAGAAAACATTTTGATTTAAATAAAACACTCGTTTATTGGCAAACAAAAAACAACGTACTTCTAAATTCATATATTCCTGGAGAAGATACTTCCAAATATATTCACTTAAAGTATCAGAACAGGACATCACTGACACTTGAAAAAATGGAAAAAGGCGATTTTTCTCTGCATTTGTCTAACATCACCATAGAAGATGAGCTGGAGTTTGCATGCATTGTTGTGAACAAATCTAATACTGAGTTTTTTTTCACATCTATAGTAAATCTCCGTGTGGCAGGTAAGGACACTGGAAATAGAGAAATTTGATTCTTAGCTGTTGTGATGCTGTGGGAAACTATTTTAATCCAATAAGACTCCATGATTTTATTGGAAGAGTAGGAAAGCAGTGGGGCCCAATGGATAGCATATTGACCTTGTAGTCAGAAAGATCTGACTTCATATCCCACTTCTAATACTTATTAGCTGTATAATTATGGACAAGTCAATTAATTCAGATTTATAGTTGAGTCATGGTCTCTTTTGGTGGAAAGAGTCCACACCCCTATGAAATCAAAGATCCTTTTCTTTATGATGTAGTACATTATTAACATATTTAAACTCTTAGCTGACAGTAGATTTTGTGAGTGATTATGCCCCCCCCAAAAGCCAATCTTGTGGCAATGAACTTGAATTTGTCTATCCTTAGAAATTTTTTCTTTTTTCTTTTTCTTTTTGGCAGTTGGGGTTGTTTGGTCTGAGGCCTAATTTGAACTCAGGTACTCCTGACTTCAGGGCCAGTACTCTATCCACTGCGCCACCTAACTGCCCCCCATCCTTAGAATTTTTACCAGGACCATACTTAAAGAATTGTATAAGGCCGTCTCATGATAAGATATCAGAATAAGAGTTTAGTGAAACTCTTGGGAAAGTATGTCAAACAAAGCCTGCTATCTACTGATTCACTAGTTTTCCATCCAGGAAAAAAAAAAAAGCTTAATTTCTACAAATAGCCAGGATTCCATTTAACTTGACAAAAAAAAAAAAGAGAGAGAGATTGGTTGAAAAAATGTTAGAAATAGAGCCAATTATATTATGAATTTTTTTTCCAACTTGAATTTTTCTTTTCCCTTGACTATCTCGAGTAGATCAAGTGTTGCAGGAAAAACCATAACCTTGCCATTCTTGTCCATCCAGTCAATTAGTATTCATAGAATCATAGATTTTGTGGTAGAAATGACAACAGAAGTCATCTAATCTAACCCTCTCATTTTACAGAGGAGGAAAATGAGACCCAGAAAATTAAACAGCTTACCCATGATCAAATCAAGTCAGTCAGGCAATAAACATTTATTGAGCCCTTACTATGTGCCAGGCACTATACTGAGTGCCAAGGACCCAAAAAGAGGCAAAAGGCAGTCTCTGCCCCCCCAAAATTCACAATTTAATAGGAGTGACAACAAGCAAACACATATGTAAAAATAAGCTATGTATAAATAGGAAATAATTAAGAAAGGGAAAGCATTAGAATTAAGAGAAGTTGGGGAACATATTCCTGTAGAAGACAGGATTATAGCTGGAACCTAATGGAAGCCAGTATGTGGGGATGAGGAAAGAAGGCATTCCAGGCCATGATACAATAAAAAGCTGTGATGATGTCTAACCAGTAATACTTAGCACAAATCAACCCTCTGCATTTTTTCTTAGTATTTATTAGTACTATTTAGAAACAAAGATGATTTGTATCAATTTATTCTGCCTCTTGCTCTTTTAGTGAAGTTATTAAAAAAAAAAATCTCAGTATCTTTGCTGATTCTCTGGGATTTTCTAGGTAGACTATTAGATCATTTGCAGATGGAGATGATTTTCTCTCTCCTTTGCCATTTTACTTCATACTTAGATATTTCAGTATTAGAGGGGAAAATCAGTAAATACCAAGGAGGTCACTGAAAAAATACCCTCATTAAAGAAACACTTCTGTAGTATTTGTTGGCTGGGGAAAGCACCAGGTCCTGGGGGATGGTGGAGCCTCCTGTTGCCAGGTGTTTGGGGATTTTCTTTCAGGCTTAGCAGTACCCTGAATAAAGGGTACTGTCTTCTTTGTTCAGTTGTTTCAGTTGCATCTGACTCTCCTTTACCCCATTTGTGATTTTCTTGGCAAAGTTAGTGGAGTGGTTTGTCATTTACTTCTCCAGCTTATTTTACAAATGAGGAAACTGAGGCAAATGGGGTTAAGTGACTTGCCCAGGGTCACTTAAGTATCTGAGGCTGGATTTGAATTTAGGAAGATGAATCTTCCCAACTCCAGGCCCAGCACTTTACCCACTGCCACCTAGCTGCCTTTTTGTGCTGACATCTCATCCCCTAGTCCTACTTAGTGTTACCTATAGCCCAATACCCTGGGAAGTGTTTCCTCCTTGCAACAGCTCCCTAATAATTTTCAGAACCTTGGTCATATCCCTAATATAATCATTTTTTTTCCTTCTCTAGCAAACTATAGTGTTCCAATAGTAGATGATAAGACCAACAATACAGAAGTCATTTTCACCTGCACTTCCCACAATGGTTTTCCAAAGCCAAAGGTTTACTGGGTAAACAAAACAGATAATAGTTTGCTTAATCAAAGCCTACAAAATGATACCTTCACCACCAATGAGAAAGGCTTATTCAGCGTCTCCAGTGTGCTGAAGATTACATGGACTCCTAATATCAGTATTGAATGCTGTATAGAAAACGTGAACCTACAGCAAAACCTAACAGTTCAGTCAAGTAAGTTATTCATTGGTCAGATGGGAAAAGTGTGCATTTGTTTTTCATTAACCAAACTATACCCCAAAAATAATAGAGGAAGAGTATGTGAGTGTAAACAGAGTGAACTCTTGGAACAAAGGAAAAATTATTTTGGAGCGAAGAAAACCTTGCCATCCATAGGTAGTGCTTTCCCCTCATTGGCAGTCTTCAAGTAAGGGAGGGGAGGTAGGTGAGGAATAAGTATCTATTGAGCACCTACACCTACCCTGAGCCAAGCACCATGCTAAGCACTTTTACAAATATTGCCTTATTTGATCCTCACACCAACTCTGTGAGGTGGGTGCTGTTGTGATCCTTATTGACATTTGAGGATGCTGAGGCAGACAGAGGTGATGAGGCTTGCCCAGGGTCACACAGCTAGTAAAGGTCTGAGTGCCCTGATCTTTCTGATTCCAGACCAAGCACTCTATTCACTGAGATACCTTGCTGCCTCTAAATAGAGGCTGAATGACTACTTGTTCGTGATGTTAGAGAAGGAATTCTTGTTCAAGTCTGGGTTGGGCTCCATGAATCCTAAGGCTCCTTCAGACTGTTGAGAGTGTGATTCTATGATTTCCAAAAAGAAATTCTATAGCCACTCAGCCTACAATTCCAGAATTGTCATATCATAGTATAATAGATTTAGAGTTGAAAAGTCGCAGGCTCCAGAGAGTTCAGTTTACTTCAGTTACTTTGATTCAGCACTTAGTAAGTGCCAAAGTCCTGAACTAGGCCTGGGAAACTGCAAATAAATCAGATACAATCCTTGACCTTATATAAAAAACCTCATATTTACTGATGGGTCAAAATTATGTTTATGAAAATGCTGATGGGTTGGATCAGTGATTCATAAAATGTTTCCATTCACTTGATTTAAATTGTTCATTGAATATCATTTGAAAATAACAACAACAAAAAAATTCCATTGATATTATGCCATTCAGATGTGAATCTAAATCCTTGTCCTAAAGCACTAGTTGTTGTTCAGTCATTTCAGTTGTGTCTGACTCTTCAGGACCCCATTTGGGGTTTTCTTGGCAAAGATACTAGAGTGGTTTGTCATTTCCTTCTCCAGCTCTTTTACAGATGAGGAAACTGAGGCAAACAGGTTTAAGTGATTTGCCCAGGTTCACAAACTAGTGTCTGAGACTAGATTTGAACTCAGGTCTTCCTGACTCCAGCTAGGCACTCTATCAATTGTGCCACCTAGCTGCCCTGCAAAGCAATAGTACAATCTTTATAAAGAAGATCTTATGCTTAGAGCTGGAAGGACCATCTAGTGCAAACCCCTCATTTTATAGATACAAAGGAAATAGATACAAAGAGGTTAAGTAACCTGCACAAGATCACACAGGTAGTAAATGAGTAAGACAGGATTTGAACATAAGTTCTTCTGACTCAAAATCCAGTGCTTTTTTAAAGTGTACCGTATAGGAATATGTACGGATGAATAGTCATCAGGAATGTTACAGGGAGGGTTCTTGCTTAAGTTGAATTTGGACTAGATGATTCTGGGGTCTTATCCAAAGCTAAGCTTCTATGATTATATGTATAGTGGTGCGATTTACTAAAGTGCTCTCTGCCAGATTACATTTGACCTACTGAATAGTCAGTACCTAAGGAGAAACTGTTTCCACTATTCACAGCACCTAAAAGCTCAAATTTTTCAAAGCAATCCAACAAGTGTTCCAGGATATATGGTTTATTCACAAGCTGGCTTTGTAAGCTACATTGGGGTTGGAGAAAATTTTCAGAATGCAAAGTAAATCTTAAATGGCAGGTTATAATTATGCAGATTAAACAAACCACAATCTGCCTTCTATGCCCTTACATGTATAGAATGTTTCTGGAGGAAGTCATAAAACTGTTCTGACTGGGTCTATCACAAGTTTGTTATCTAATTTCAACTGGGTCCTCACTGGGGCAAAACAATCTTTTTGCTTCTGCCCAATTAACTCCCCAGCTGGGGGAATCACACTGTCCCCAAAACTTTTCTTATTTCTTCAAGCATCCCATGTTACCTCCCTCTTAACCGAGAGCCTGGTCTTTTATTTGACTAAGAAAGTAGAGGAAAATTTGCTGTAAGCTCGCTCTTATCTCTATTCTACATCTCAAAACCCCTTAAAACCTTCCCTTATCTTCCTTTGTTAGGTTTCTGGTTAAGCCTTCACCTATACTTAATCCCTTAAATCAACCCATTACCTGAATTAGCTTGCCTTTTCAATAATCCCTTTTTACTTTCTAATTTTCAATCCCTTCCTTCTTTTGGTTCCTTCCCTGCTAGCTACAAACTTCTCCCATACTTAAAAACAAAAAACTTCACTTGACCTTTTATCCCCTTACTTTATTATCCTTTATCTCACTTTCCTTTCATAAACAGACTCCTAAAAAAGCTTCCTGTACTCATTGCTTCTATATCATCTCACTTCTCTACTCCTTGCTTCTAATTTCATCACACAACTGAAACTGCTCTTCTTAAGGTTACCAGTTACCTAATTTGCCAAATCCAAAGGCCCTTTCTCAGTTTTCATCCTTCTTGACCTCTCTGCATCATTTGATGGTGTTGACCACCTTCTACTAGATACTACAGTCTCCCACTTCTCCTACTGATGAGGTCTAGAGGTTAGGGGTCCTGGAATCCCAAAATCATGACAGGTGTGTCCTGCCCAAAAGAATTCGACCCAAGCCTTCTTTCAGCCAAAAACAAGGTTTATTGGAGATTCGCCATATTAGCTAGGCTCTTAAGGAATCTGAGTATCAATGGGCTATTGGTTATATTGCGAAAACCTGTGCATCTTAATGGAGACAAGATAAGAAAGACTGTGGGAGGGATCTAGGAGGGGCCAAGTAGTCTATGAGGTAATAGAATTCCAAGGAAATGGAGCCTAGGTGGGATTAAGGGTGGAAAATGGCTGGGGACCATAGGGAGGTAAAACAATAGAGGGGAGATTGGGTATAGCCACAATGAAAGGCCAGTTGATGGGATTGTAGCCTCAGGCTAGAGATTTAGCCCAGTGGGAAAGTCTAGGGTTTTTCCTTTCTGGGGCCGGGATCCCAACCCATCCCTGCTTGTCTGGTTTCTCCTCAATATCCTTTGCTTGAACCTCACTCATGTCCTATCTGCTAACTGTGGGTGTACCTCAAGACTAGACCCTGGACCCTCTTTCTTTTTACACAATCTTTCAATGAATGACCTCATCAATGATCATTTCAAATGTTTATAATTTTCAAAAGGAAAGGTTAATGATGGTAGTGAAATTCTTTTAAATATTACCTTGTGATATGCCAATCTTAAAGATGACTAATAATCACAAGTTCAATATTCTTAAACTACTTCAGAAGCCTACAAATTGTTGTCCATGCCTCCATTGTTTCACATGTATTTTTAATTTACTTAGTTATGTTCATTTCATTTCCCACAAATAGAATGTAAGTTCCTTGAGGCTAGGGAGATTTTGAGCTTTAGTCTAAATCTATGACTATCCAACAACATCCTCCATTTGGAACTTTGTAGCTGTGAAATTAACTGCCGTACAACATTGTTTCACCTACAGTTCTATTTTCAGGAAATTATCTAATGTGTTAGGTGAGGGACTCCTGTACATATGTAAATGGATGTCAACCTTGTTTTCCGTGTTCCTCTTTTCCTATGGGATGCACCTTTTTTGTTGTTTTTTTTTCAAAAGAATGTGCATCTTAGATCTTAATGTTTTGTGCCCTCAAGAATAAAATATCCCCTCTCAAACTGTGAGCAATGATAGGAAAATTTTGGAATAGTGAAAAGGATTAAATGAAGAAAACGGTGAAATGCAGAAAGTTAGTTTTCTTAGAGCAAAGCAAGCTTTCAGATGTTTATAATTTTCAAAAGGAAAGGTTAATGGTAGTAGTGAAATTCTTTTAAATATTACTGTCTGATATGTCCATCTTAAAGATGACTAATAAACATTTCCTTCTTTACTTTTAAATCTCAGGCTTTCTCCTTTCTCCAGGCGGAAACTTCATTCGTCAAACAATCACTACTCCCCCAAATCAGCTTAAACCACCTGAGAAAACAACAAATACTGTCTTCTTTACTATCTTTGGAATTTTACTTGTGATTCTTCTGATTGTTGGGATTGGTAGTAGAAAGCTGTGTAAAAAGAAACATCGCTACGGAGATTACACAGGTGATTTAAAAAATATGTATTCTTTTTAATGCTCTAAGGTGTTTTTTTTCCACAAGGGTCAAATGGGTTATAAAACACTCCCTTTTCATTTTTTAAAAATAGACCTAAATTTCATATTCATGTAAAACAACAGTTTGCCAATACAGATAATGTAGGTGTTTTGTTTTTAAGAAAGTTAAGGTGCTGTTTGCAATCTAAACATCTTATTTCCTTTATTCCAACAAAGCATCCCAATCAAAATAAGGTACCATAAGTTGGTATCATAGCAATTGACATTCAGAACTGTAATTTCTAGATGGATTTGAAAAGTAATATGAATTTAGGAATCAGAACAGATTCTTCTCTAATGACTGAACATACCACATGTCTAAAAAAACTAAACCCCCTCTCAAAAGCAGGTTAATAATAATAGGAGTCATGCAAAAGAAACTTGGGAATCTTTGTAACAACAAAGAATATAGATTTCCATGCAATTTTGTCCTGATTAAACAAGTCCAGCTTAGTTAGTATATAGTTCTGGGAGAAGTCAGTTATACACCTTAAGTTACAATGGTCAATAGCAACTAATGTAAAAAAAAAAAAGCCAAGAAACAGAGTTCTAAGAAAATGCAAGCTCTATTTGACCTCTGGGAAAAGAGGTATGAATTCTACCCTGTCTAATTTTAAGGGAAGAGATTATCTATTGTGAACTTTTGGGAGTGAATAGGGCTAATTATTTCAGGTATTTTTTTTTGAGGTGACAGTAACACTCATGCTTACTATATATACTTCATTATTTGTCCTGGGGGAAAGGGAGAAGATATTAAAAACCAAGTGATTACATATTAGACACACCTGGCAAGAATCAGGATGGAACAGACAAAGCCTTTGTGGAATTTTAGTTAAGGTTTAGGTTGAAAAACAAATGCCATTCAGTCTAGAACTAAAGCTATTTCTCTTACAGGAACCGCCAAATACCTTACCCTCATACTATTTTTTTTTGCTTTTAGGCAATTGGGGTTAAGTGACTTGCCCAGGGTCACACAGCTAGTAAGTGTCAAGTGTTTGGTCTGAGGCCGCATACTATTTCCAAATTCACATATTTTACTTACCCTTGCAATAGCTTTGATTCCTTGTAAATAACTCCTAGAATTTTTTTTTCTATTGTGGCCTACTACGTGTGTAGACAATGGTAGAAAGGAAATAAGAAAGGAACTTGGACCAACTGTTGAGGTTTAGGGGCACTGGGACCCCAAAATCACAACACGCAGGTCCTGCCCAAAAGAATTTGGCTCAAGCCTTCTTTCAGCCAAATATAAGATTTATTAGAACATCCACCATATTGGGTTCACTCTAAAGGAGTCTGAACATTAGTAATCTATTGGCTAGATTTAAAGAATCTAAGCAACTTAATGGTGACAAGATGGACCTTATATACAGAAAGACTATGGGAGGGATCTAGGCAAAGCCAAGTAGTCTATGAGGTAATAGAATTCCAGGGGCCTGGACCTCCGAGATTGGAGCCTAGATAGGATTAAGGGTGGGAAGTGGCCTGGGGCCATAGGGAGGTAAGACAATGGAGGGCTAGGCTAGTAATAGAATTCAGAGATTGGACATAGCTGCAATGAAAGGCCTATTGATGGAATTATGGCCTCAGGGGAAGGTCAGAGACCTTCTTGATCAAGTGGCAGAATTTAAGGATAGTCCAAGGATTTTCTAGGGCTTGCAGAAAAATGGGGTCCAAATTGGGACAAAGGTCTCAGCTTGGGTGCATATCCCATCACCACCACCAATGTATGGTGGTAACCCCTGAACAAGGGGGCAGGTAATAAGGATGCAAATCTCTGAAACCAAGGTGGGAAAAGACAGCTGAGGGCCAAGAAGATCCAGGAGTCACTTGCATTGGATTTCAGTGATCAGGGATGTCCAGAAAAACTTCAAATCTAAAACTCATGGGGACCAAGGTAAGGTCCCTAGAACTGGCTCCAAGTGGAAGACAGTTGGCACTGCCAATTCAGCTAAGCCTAAGACCCAGGGATGGCTCTTTTTAAAGGCTTTGGAGACTCTACAGAGAATGAAGGACAGTACTTAAATGTATTCTTATGACTTTAGGATGAAAGAGACAATGTCGCTTTCCCTAAAGACTGAAAGTTTATTTCTGCCTTCAGTTCATATCCTTCCAGCAGCTTTCTTCTTCTATTATGAATTCTAAGTATTCCAACAATGATTTTCAAATACTATAGTCTCTGCCATAATAGTGGTTGATAACAGTTAACAGTATGTTATATGTACATTCCATTTATATGTAGAATTATTCATAATTAAAAACTTAAAATTTTTAAAATATCTATTCCCTTAAAATTAGTGATTTATAGTTCATATTAAGAATGAAATATCAAATCCGCCTCCAAAGAAAGAAGTGATGAAGTCTGAATGCAGATCAAAGCTAACTTTTTTTTTAAGGGGAAGGTCTGTGTTTTCTTTTGCAATGTAGCTAGTATGGAAATACGTTTTGCATGACTACACGTGTATCATCTACATCAAATTGCTTGCCTTCTCAAGGGGGAGGGTAAAAGCGGAGGAGAGAATTTGGAACTCAAATTTTTTTAGATGAATGTTCAAAATTGTTTTTACGTGTATTTGGAAAAGTACAAAAAAAAATTTAAAGAGTGAAGTAGCAATCATTGTTGGCAAAAGAACTTATTTGAATTTTTAACTCATTTAGCCAGTTGTCTTTCCATTCTTGGCGATGGTTGGAGAGAAATGACAAATGAGAGGAAAGTTATTCCAAATCCCCAACATGACATTGACATATAAAGAGTGCTAGCTGTAAAGGAAGAAGGAAGTTTTCTATGTGTCTATCTCTATTCTTATGATATTTCTAAATAGAATTTCTGTTTTAATAGGTCCCCAGGGAAACAGACAGATGGCAGAAACTACCGGTAAGGAAAAGAAGAAACTAAATAGAAACTAGTGTCACTTAGAAAAGTTATTTGCATATTAATTTTAAATCCTCACATCAGGCATTTTTCAACTTGGAAAAATGACTACAGTCTTAGGCTTATCAAGAATCCAGGGTTAGAAAAGTCATTCTTTTAGTGCTCCTTTTGCAATTTAAAAGATATGGTCATCTTTAGAAATAAATAGTTGTTCAATGAATAGTATGCCCTAGACAATCAATACTAGTACTTGACTGCTGTGGAGAGACTGCCCTTTTTCAAGGATAAATTCCTTTTCAGAAATGTGAAAACCTTCAAGTTAAAAATGAACTTAATTTACAATTAAATGAAGTCTAATTATCGATAAAGACATGACGAGAAATTATTTTAAGCACTATGGTCTTGATTTGAAATTCTTTTTTTTTCCCCAAAAGGAATCCTGTATCAGTTCTATCCTTGTTCATGTCACAGGAAAGTATCAGGACTAACGGAGCTACCCAGTAAAATGTCACTTTCTTTTGGGTGTTTCCTCCAAAGACCTTCCTTCCTGAAAAGAGATTACTGAGATTCTGTAAAGTAGGAATGCCTGCTTTAAAAATAATTGAGAAATTTTTTCTAAATTTCTAGAAATAAATTTAGAAATAATTTAAAAATAATTTTAGAAGAAATAGGCTTGGAGGGGGAGGACTCACCATCCAGAGTGCCATAAGCAATGAGGAGGACAATTGTCCTTTCATTCTCCAGAATACTGGAGAAATGATCAAGCTGAGGAATTTTTACATACTTTATAGCAAAACTTTTAAAGGACCATGTAAATGTGGATTATTACAAATACCTTCTCTGATGTAGTTGTAGAAAGGTACTTTTTCTACACTGAAGACAGTAAGCAAGTTACTGATGCCAAGGAATGGCCTGATACTATGTCCTCACCTTATTCTATGCCCTTCAGCCAGGTAACCCTGCTGTCAATGCAGTTACCAGGACCTTGTAACCTCTCTCACCTCTACAACCACAAGAGCCTGGGGAGTCAGTCTCAGGCAAGGAGAGTTGCTTCCTAGGTTGTGACCCAGAATCCACTTTCCTATAAATACAATGTAAATAATATTAATTTAATGTAATTTAAATAATGCTGATTACGATATTTAAGGCATGTTCGTGGTTGTATAGGCTTTTAAAGTATTCTAGCCTAGACCCTAATTGTTTTTGTTTCCGTGTTTAAGTGAGAAACTTCATTTCTAATTAAAAAAACATCCACAAAGTTCTATGGGCAAGTTGGAGATAGAGGATGAATATCAAATCCCAAAGAGCAAGTGACCCCATAATGATGATTTTTAAAAGATCAAATGTTTGGCTACCTTTGTAATATGTGCTTTGTTTTCAAAATATCTTCATTTGGGATTTGCTTGTGAGTGGACAGAGGGTTTTCATATGTAATGGCATAATCCATAATGGTCAATTCCTTTTCCTTCCAAAGGCAGATACAAAAGCCCTACATGGTACAGCGTATAATGCTAGACTTATTGAGGAAGATTATCTAAATCCTACCTTACATATCTGATTACATGTGTGATTCAGGATGATTCCTTCATTTCTTCATGTGTAAAATAGAGCTAATAATAGCCTCGACTTCTCATGACTATTGTGGGGCTTAAATGAGATAATATGGATAAAATGCTATATAAATACTAAATGGGAATCCATATGTATTTCATCTTTCTCCCTTTCCTTTTCTTTTCTAATCAAGAGTATATTTGAAAGGGAAGCCATCTGCATAGAAAACAAGACACCTGACTGTAAACTACCATATGACAAAGGCAATTTTGATTTGGCAATGCTTGACCAAAACTCCTCCTGCTACAGAGGGTGAAATGACTGACTGTCTTTCAAATGGAAAGAAGGGGAAGTGATTGCCTTCTACCTTTCTACTCACCTCTCAAAGAAGATTAAGAATAGCCATCTGAAGCTCGAAACACTGGGATGGTACCTTTGAGGAACTGGAGTACTATTATACTACTGGAATGTCATGGTGGTCACTTTTGAAAAGTACTGACTGCACTGATCCCAGCTAGAAGGAGAATGCAGCTAATTCAAGATTATTTTTTGGAGGGTCAACAGCATTCTGCAGTAGAAGAATCCAAGAAGGCTCTTCCTCTTTCTAACCATTAACTATTGACCATGATCGAAAAGGGAGGCAGTTCTGACTGAAGAGCAAAAGCTAGTCTTCAGGTTGTTTTTTTTTTAATTCTTTCCTTTCATCCCTCCATTCTATAAGTACCTATCTTCCCACTGGGAGCCCAGGCTGCATCTGCTTCAGCTCCAAGAATAACCAAACTATGCAAAACTTGGAATTAAGGCATTTGGGTATGGAGTTTCTGAAACGGGAAAAAGGTGACATACATGGCAAGGATGTGTAGTTTTAAAAGAATGTGATTGCACTGTACACTTTTGAGGACTGTGTAAGAGGAGATATACTGTGTGGCCTTGGGAGACAGCTACCCTACTATGGAAGTGATTTCTTATCTTCTATTCCCTTAGCAATACTCACGCTCTATGCCCCAGTCTTTGAAGATGCAATAATGTGTAAAATATGGTGAATGCCTCTAATCCCTGCTGCCAGAAAGGCTGAGGCTAGTGGAGCCATCTCTTTTATTGGGAGTTCTGAGCTATAGTTAGCTAAGTCAGTTGGGGTCTACACAAGTCTGCCAGCAATATGGTGAGCCTCCAAGAGCAAGGGGCCACCAGGCTACCTAACAAGGGGAGAATAGGTTCAGGATGGAAATGGAGCACATCTAAGCTGGCTCAGTAGGGCTGAACAATAGTGTAATTGAGTCTGTGAATAGCCCCTGTACTTCTAGTACTCTTCCCCCAAAATGGGACAAAAAGGAACGTAGGAGGGTTTTTTCGTTTTGTTTTCATTCTCCAACAGCCAAGTTCAATTAAGTCATTAGGCACTATAGTCCTAAAGGACTCAGATTCCTGAGGAAAAGAGAAAACAGACAAACAAGACAGAAAAAAGAGGGCCATCCATGGGAAGTTGGTTTTGTTTTATGATTAAAAGGTAGAAGTTCATTTTCTTCCTTCTTTTAAGAGAGATTGGAAAGCTCATCTTTTCCATGACTGTGAGTATTTTTTTAAGAAGGCATCCAAAATTTGTTAGTAAAATATGGACAAAAATTTTGGCACTGAGAAGGAGTTTCTCAGTCTTGGAAAAATTACAAAGAGGACCAAGTTTCTTTCATATTTACCTATGTCCCTCTGTCTATCTCCCTCCTCCCACCTGCCCCATGTCCAATGTAACTTTAAGCAATATGAAATGTCCCAGTGAGCATCCCACCCAGGTGTAACTGTAATGAGCCATATTCCAGAATTATCTATTCTCTAATCTAAAAATCCCTTTCCTTCAGTACTCACTGAATTCAGTGGAGAAACTAATCTTATTACAGTAATTTAGACTGACATGTGAATGATTTCCAGGCTTGACTCTCCCCAGGGATAGTTATTACTTTAAAAGATGGTTTTGTTGGTTTAAATGAATCCCCAATTGATAGTCTATGTTGAGGAGATTATATATATATATATATATATATATATATATATATATGAAGAAAGGCTTTGTCCTCCTGTGACCCCTTAAGTACTGTAGGCCAATACAACACTAGGAGAACATAGGTCAGCACCTTGGCAGCTGACTACCAAAGACTGGCAACCCTGAGGTAGTATGAGAAAACCATAATTCTCTGAGATTAGGATATTTTCTTTGAGCTTTTTTTGTTGCACGTTTTATGTCACACTGTATGTTTGAGGATTGATACAAGACGCTTTTTTTTTGCCTTTTGATGAAACAATCAGGGTTAAGTGACTTGCCCAGGGTCACAGAGCTAGTGAGTGTCATGTGTCTGAGACTGGATTCGAACCCAAGTTCTCCTGATTCCAAGGCCAGAGCTCCATCCACTGTACCACCTCGGGGCCCCTAAGATGTTATTCTGAGACCCACTGTTGGGGATTAGAAGGGAAATGTCAATAGTTAGAACCAAAATATACAAGTCTAATACTCATGGAAAGAGAAAATTATTCTTCCAGGATTTTTTCCACCTTTCAGCAGACATGGTATTGATACAACTTTGAAACAAATGACATTGGGGAAATACACAATTTAAATTTGGAGGGTTTGGAGAAGTGTGTATTTTCTTTTAAGAGAAAAAAAACCTCTCATAGTTCAATTCTTAAAGGATGGGGTATCATTTGGCAAATTCAAAATTCTGGGTGTGGCACTCACTGAAAATCAGATTTGAAACTTCAAATTTAGGCATCATAGTAGAATAGAAAGAACAAATAACAGGACCTGTTTTCAAAACCTTTCTTTTGTCATGTGATCTTATATGAGTCAATTCCCCTCTTTGGGCCTCAGTTTCCACATCGTAAAATAAGGGGATTGGACCAGATGACTTCTAAATTGACTCCCAGCTCTAGATCTTAGAATCCTCTGAAATTTTGTGCTTATTAGGGAGAGAACGAGTTGGAGTTCAACAAAGGGACTGGGAAAGACACTACAACATCTTAGAGTGTTAGAGACTTCATACTCTAGGATGGTTCTTGGAAGGAAGAGACTTCTTGTTGCTTTAGAATACTGGCACATTGCAACATGTAGGTGGAAATAGGTGGTTGTCTTATGTAGACTGAATAAGCTGGAGTTTAAAAAAACAAACTTGTAGGCAAGACAAGCACAATTGCTGCATGAGTTGCTTTTCTTCTTTCAGTATCATCAAAGGTTTCCTTTGTTTTCTCACCTCAGGGAGAGTAAACAGTGTTTAATGAGCCCTAATTTTCACTTTTTACAACTCTGAATCAACCAGTAAGTATCTGAGTCAAAGTTTTCCAAACATGCTGTCAGCAGATTCCACAAGTTGCTGTTTTATTTCTTACAGAATGCCGAGCCCTTTCTCAACCACTTTCTATGCCCATTTACTGGCATTATGAAGCAGCCTGAAAAAGATGCATTCCAGTGAGCCCTTCATATTTGCCTATTTAGAACTCATAGCTCCAAGGACTTAGATTGAGTTAGTGAGTGGTCTTTCAGTATTGTGGAGTGCCAGGTCTTATGTAATTGTCAGCCCTATTGAAAAGTAGAGACCCGATTCTTCTTTCCCAACATGATCAATGTGGAAATATGCTTAATATGATTGTAACATGTATAACGTATCTCAGATTGCTTGCCATCTTGGTGGGGGAGGAGGGTGGAGTGAGAGAAAAAAATTTGGAACTCAAAATCTTATAAAAATGAATGTTGAAAACTATCTTTACATGCAATTAGGAAAAAAAAATACTATTAAGTGGGAAAAAATTAAAAAGAAAAATAAAGAAAAAGAGAGATCCATCAACCAGCTATACTCATATTAGTATCTTCCACCGGCTCAAAAAAGCCATGCTCCCCCCGTTGTAAAGTGTTGGAAAAGATGGCAACTGATACCTTGAGGTACTCTTGGTCTGTGTCAGACTTGCATTCTGCCTTCTGTAGAAGGTTATTAGAGTTTTCTGAAATTTGTACATTTGGTCTCTGTTCTTTTTCTAGTGTGAAATGTTTAGATGTTTAAATGTTTGTCTTTTTACCATTGCAGGGGTGAGGGAGGGAAGTTGGAAGGGGATCTTGGTCCCATCTGTTTGTATTTATCCCATTTGGGGAATGAATGTTTCAAAAATTCACAGTATAAATTGCTTCATCTTAGATAACTTGTCTAGAATTACAAAATTTAAAAATTTTATCTTCAAAATGTGTCCTGTCTTGCGGGGGAGGTACATGTTTATTGCCTATTCTCTCATTGTTTGGAAAAGAGAAAGTACTTAACACTACATAGATATATATGCATATATTTCCATTTCACACAATAAGTAACTTGGTTATTGTGTTAGTACTTTCCTATTTGAAGAGAAATAGCTACTGAACCACTTCCCAAACTAAGGCCTCAAGAAAAATACAGTTAGTGGTAGGGATCTCAAAGGAATGGTGGTTGGCAGACCTTATACCAGGTTTCCTTATAGGTGAACCTTGGAAAGAGAATGCTAAAGGGTGACTTAAGAGCATTCTTGAAATGTGTGATAGCTTATAATGCGGAAAATGGTGACTTCTTTTTTTCCATATTGCCGCCAGAGACAGCATCAGATGAAATGGACCTTATTATTCAGGATAATACTCGTAAAGCATGAAGAATTATTTATTATTTATTTTAAACAAGCATTTATTAAATACTATGTGTCAGGTGCTGTGCTAAGTTCGCAGGATGCAAAAAGAGGAAAAAACAGTCCCTTCCCTCAAATGAGAGATTTTAGAGTCAGCCAAGAAAGGAAGGATAAAAAGGAAAAACAATCATGACCTCGGGCAAGTCATGTAACCTCTCTTAAGTGTCTGTGTCCTCTATAAAATAAGAACATTTTACTAAATGATTCCCCAGGTTCCTTCTATGTCTATATGACTGTCATCATTAATTCAATCTATTACACTCACATTTCCACTTGGAGGCTTCAACTCTATAATTCAATCAAACTGACCAACTCTTACCCAGATTTCATCTCCTGCCTCAGTGACTTTTCCAGGCCGTTCTGGAATGCTGTCTTTTCTCATTTCTCTTGCTTGGAATACCTAGCCCCCTTTAAGACTAAGTTCAAGAATGTCCTTTCCCAATGTCAGCTCTCTATACCTTAGTTAATTTGTATGTATTTTGCATGTAATTTGCATGTACTTATCTATATGGTGCTCTCTTCTGGTAGGGTAAAAGCTCACTGAAATTGCAAGGATTGTCTCATTTTTATTTTTTCAACCTTTCACAATGCCTGAAACACAAATGCTTATTGAATTGAAGTGAATTGACCTGTTTTTACAAGTGGCAAGCAAACCTCAAAGTCTGGATGATAATTTTTCAAGTATTTTATGGAAAGGATTCTTCAGGAATGAATCATATTCATACCCTCTAATATCCCTTCCAACTCTGGTTTTATGTGACTTTGCCCTGGCCACCCCTGATAGCAGAAATCCTACTCTGTAAGTGGCCATTTTACAATTGAAAATAACCCTCCTACACACATATGCCCCACCTTCATCCAGCACCTGGTAAACTTGTAGCTTTCTAACCTAAAAGCAACATGCCTTTATTTAATTCGCTTCTAACTAACACGAAGCAGACTTCTGAACAGAAATCAGGTCTGTATTATTTGGTTTTGTACAGCTAAGTCCCAATTAGTTCAAATAAGGAATCCTCTGAAGAAGCTACTTATATATAAATTTGTATTACTCAAAAGTTTTAATTTTGTAAAATATGGCAATTGGTTCTGGCCCAATGGAAATATGTAGTGCAAACCTTAATGATGTAACTACGTTGCAGAGGATTTATTATTTGCACCAAATGGGACCTATTTAAGGACTTGGTCAATTCTTTTTTTTTTTTCTGGTACCTGATCACAAGAGAGAACTAAGAGTTGGCCATATTTGACCTGGATGCAGTCTTAGCCACTCTAGTCACATGAAACTACCCTGTAAAAACCATCACCAGCATCATTGTTTTATCTTTTTTATTTTTACATTTAATACAGTTTATTGATGACTTTTACAGTCATTTTCAGTCATACCTGACAGTACCTGAAACATTCTTCTCCTGTGGCCCCACCTCTCTTCTCAACCAAGAGGAGGGAAGTATCTTGTTCCATTTCCTGTCCTGGACCAAGACTGGCCATTGCAATTAATCTGAATTCAGCTACCTTATAATGTCTTCATTTACTTTATTGTTCTCATTCAGCTTACTTTACTCCATGTCAACTAAAACAAGTCTTTCCAGATTTTTCTGAATTCTTATTTCTTGTTTCCCATGTTGTAATAGAACTTAATCACATTCACATACCACATGTTCAACCATTGCCCAGTCACGGGTACCCATTTTGCTCACCAATTTTTTGGCACCGTTAAAAAAAATGCTACTAAAAGTATTTTGTTCTGTATGCAACTTCTCTTTTAAAAAAAAAAGTCTTTGGTTTATATGCCAGTAGTGGGATTGTGGGACCAAAGAGGACAGCTTAGTATCTTTTTTATGTAAATCAAAATTGTGTTCTTAAATGAATTGGACAAGTCCATAGCTCCATCAACAATGTATTCATGTGCCTGTCTTTTCATAGCCCCTCCAACACAAATGATTTCTGTCTTTTATCATCTTGGCTAATTTGTAGTATGAAAAGTGAAACATAAGAGTAGTTTTTATTTATAGTTCTTTTCTTAGCACTTTAAACCATTTTTTATGTGGTTCTTGACAATTGGTGTATCTTTCTAGCCTTTGACCACTGATGTATAGAAGGTCAGATCCTTCTATTGAATATCAGACTTTTTCAGAGATAGTTAATGTAAAAATTCTACATTTTAATATATTCTATGCCTCAAAATCCCTATGAATAGGCTTTGCCATTTTAAGAATTATTTCCAACATAACGTACTTTCTTCTCAAAGCTCTCCTTTTTTTAATGTTCTTTCAAATTTTATTATATAAGATGTTCCAAAAGTCTTACATGTTAATAGCTAAAAACTGCATTAAACATTTAGGGATACCTTGTATAGTATCGCAGAT